GAGAGCTCTAAAATTTACGTACTTATGAGGTACTAGGCCTGCTCTGCCAGAGATTTTATACATGTTCACTCCATAGTTATATGATAATGGAAGTGAAGGAAAGCACCAAGATTTCTAGAGGTTCCTGACCTCACATGCCCTCAGGCACTAGAGATTTGTTCAGCAAGCTCTTGGGACTCTGGCACATGCTCAGTCTCTGCTTCTCAGCTCCTGTGAACTTTTCTTCACGCAAGAATGTGGACCTAGGATTGCCAGATCTTCCTACTTTCTTCAAGAGGAATGAGAAATTAGAATTTTATGTGAAGTCTCCTGTTTTATTGGCTAGTTCAAGATTAAAATAAAATTATGCATGAACCAAATAAAACCTTTCTACAGGCTAGATTTGATTGACTTCTTGTTCAGGACTTCCGACCTGGCCTTATCTCCCTGAAAATGAGACCCACATTGCTTCTGTGGGATGCACACAGTCAGTGGCTCACTTTGAGCAGTGACAACCATCTCCATTGTAACAGGCTTGTACCCCATGGAAATTATACACCAGTTCATGCATTTGCAAGGCATTAGATGACCCAGTAGTGACACTTAGGCCACATGGGTGAGATTACAAGCAGCAGGGAAAGAGCTAGATACACTCATGGGCCTTTCTAGCTCTAATCTTCTATGAAAACCATGTCAAACCCAGGCAACATTTTCCAAAATTAAAAAAAAAAATTAACTATGTGTGGTGATGGACATTAACTAAACTTATTGTGATGAGCATTTTGCATTATATGCAGATATCAAATCATTACATTATATTGTACACCTGAAACTAATAAAATGTTATATGTTAATTATTTCTCAAAATAAAAGGAAGAGGGAAGTTATATCCTGATATAACTTTCTTTTTATATGACTTTTTATAACTGTTGAGTGGAATTTTTATTATACCTCTTATTTTAATGATTCAAACAGCAATGTTCCCTTTTTTTTTTTAATTGTGATGGTGTGCAGTTATGTGTTTCAATGCATGACCGTTCTTTAGGACATTAAAAAACAGCCTGTCTACTATAAGGCATGCCTATAATATCAGTTATTTTACCTTATTAATGAAGAGTTAAATGTAGACTGCTCTATGATATATGTAATTAGTGACGAATATACTGTGGTATTTTTGAGGGATCAATGCTTACATTAGACTGTAGCTAAAATGACTTCTAATAATGAGATTAATTTTATGATAATGGGCCAATCCTGAGTCATGTAAACTAAAAAATCTTTGCAATCCAGAGTGAAGTTTTAGAATTTTACTATAAATGGAAGAAGAGTGACAGCCTAGACAGAGGATTAAGGTATGTGTGTGATGAAAGCAGGAACAGAGAGTGTGGCATTCTTGCAAATCTTTCCATCCCCACAAAACATCAGAGGGCATCTCTTGAGTATTCCAAAGTCCCTTCCTAGTGCTCCAGACAGGATCAAAATTAAAGTGTACAGAAAGAACATACAAGAGCATGAAATCAGTTACAGAGATTATGAGACCTAGGACATGGCTCTGTCTGGCCTGTAACAGGATGAAAACAGCATTTTATCAAGATGGGAAGTGAAATTCAAGAAGGACACTAAGTGTCACAGAAATGTGCTGGCCATGCTGGACCCTATTCTTCTCCCAACAGCCCTTCCAGTGAGACACCGATTCTGCCACACCAAAGTCGTGTGCGGAGCCCTATGCAGATAATTCTAGGCATCCTGTCCAAGCCTCTGGAGGAAGCTTGTCTAATTAAATCATCAGCATATGACAGAATGCTTAAAATTCAGGCTCCAGAGATAAATATTGTAAAACAATGCTTATTATGAAAACACCGAAATTACAAATTTAAATGCAAATTTTAGTATTTATTGGACAGCATACATCGTATCCCTAAAGGAAGGCATATAATCCTCGTTATTCTTCACACTTCCCAGGAGATGGGCAAATGGCCAAGAAAATTTAGACAAAGGGAAGTTCAATGACTTTCACAATGTAAATCTATAATAACCCTCATACCACTTCTACTTACATGAAAATAGTACATTCAACAGCCTAATGATTAAAATATAGATATAGATTTTGAGCAGTAATGGGATTAATGTTAGTAATAGCTTTTTTTTTCTCATTTTGAATCATTTGATTAGATTCATGAGTTTAATATTACTTTAAAATTTATAGATATATTTGAAATAGTAATTCATAAGACTTTAATTATATAGAAAGCTCACTTTGCATATTCTATTTTGCTTCATGATCTTAAAATACAGATTATTTTAAAATATAAAATTCTTTTCAAGTACCGCAAGAGCTTAAAAGTTGTTGGCATAAAATATTGTTTTACAGTGATAAGGATTGCTTTTCGTATTATGTCATTATCGTTAATACCACATCAATGTGAGGTGGGGGAACTTGGCGATTAGTTCAGGTCTCACCCTTTCTTGGGGCATTCCTTCTCAGATAATGTCATGTGACACAAACAGTTGTCATCTGCTAATAGACTTCCCACAAATCTTAACCAAAAAAATCTAAGCATGTTTTTTAAATCAGATACAGAACTCCCTACCCCCTGACTTTGGTTTTATGCCCTTCTTGATTTTTCCCTGTACAATTGTGTGTGCATTCTCTGTCTCTAATTACAGATGTGAGGTCACAGTATGCATACTATTTTCTAACTTCTATTTCAATCTATGTGTTATGTTGATATTTTCACATCGTTAAAAATTATTTTATGGTATCATTTTAATGACTGGAAAATATTTTGTTATGTAGATGGACTATTTACTTAATTTACTCTTAACTGAATTTTTTCTCTTTTTAAAAAATAGATAACATCCATATCGCTAAAGTTTTACATATATTCATAATTGTTGCATTAGGATAAATTCCTAAAAATATAATTGTCATGTTAAAACTAATATAAAATCTTGACACTGCTTTACGAAGAGGCACAATTATATTTACATATTTTTTATATAGAGAATACTCGTGTCCCTAGACCCTCAACAACAAACTGTATTACCAGTATTACTTTTGTTGTTGTTATTATTATTTGTTTGTCAGTATAATAGGAAAATGGTATTCCATTGTTCTAATATACACTTCTTTGGTGAGCACAGAATTATACTTTATACATTTCTGGTTATCTAAAACAAAGAGACACAGGAGGGGAATTTCCTAAATATCTGTCAGGGGTCCTGCACAATTTTGTCAGCTTCACTGTGCCAAGAACCCTCACTCTAGCTGCACACAGATGACAGTAAAATTATAGGAATATAATGGTGAGTCAGTTCAATGAAAGGGACAGTTCAGTCAAAAACTCTGATCAAATAACCTTTTAAAATAAAGAATATTTATAATTTAGTGAAAATGTGAGACCAATTTTCACAAGTAGATGTGAATGATTTAGATGATTTCATTTTCTCAGCAAGATATAATGTGAAATATAAATCTTATTGAAACTGCATATTTACTTTGACGGAGTGTTACATTTTGAATATATTTAATCTCTTCAGTTTTTATGCATTTACTTTTCTTTTTAAAAGCCACTCAATTCAAAATGTGACTTGAATTGAAAATACTTTTATCTGTCCTTGATTTCCAAAATCGTATTAAATGATCATTTATGTGATGTATGAGATATTCCCTGAAATGTGTCTGTTAAAAGACTTAAAATGTTATTGGCAAGAAATTGGTCTTATTAAGATTGAGTTGGCCCTTGCTGTGTAACAAATTACCCCAACTAGAAGCTTAAAAGAACAAATGTTTATTATCTCACACATTTTCTGAGTATTAGGAACGCAAAGGCAGCTTAGGTAGGTGTCCTGGCTCGCGCTATCTCACAAGATTGTAGAAGACACTTGGCCAGAGCTGTAGTCTCTGAGCACTTGACTAGACTTGAAGGTTCTTTTTTTTAATTTTTTTTTAATGTTTTATTTATTTCTAGGAGAGAGAGAGACAGAGTGAGCAGGGGAGGGTCGGAGAGAGAGGGAGTCACAGACTGAAACAGGCTCCAGGCTCTGAGCTGGCAGTCAGCACAGAGCCAGACGCGGGACCCGAAACACACGAACCGCGAGATCATGACCTAAGCGAAAGTCGGACGCTTAACCGACTAAGCCACCCAGGCGCCCCTAGACTTGAAGGTTCTAATGCTAAGCTCACTCACATGGTCGGCAGACATTTCCTCACCAAATGAGTCTCGCCATAGGGCTACTCAGGCCAACATGGCTTTCTGCAGAGTGAAATTCCAGGGACAGAGTAGGATGTCAGCACCCTTGTTTTAGCAGTCTGAATTACATAATTTTCAAATGGCTAAACCCAAATGCAATTTAAAAGAATCTTCTGATTTTTCTTAAACACCTTTCATCTTCATTGTTTTCTTGTCAATTTAAATAAAATTCCACTGTTTATTTTAAATGAAATAAAGAAACTTAAGTATGTGATTTTAAAGAGATGTCTAATCATTTTCTTTATATATGAATCCTCTTTCTTGCAAGTACTTAGCTTTATAATATGAAAATTCTTATCCCTGTCTACTTTTTATTTTAATAAACTTTCAGCATGACTTCTCCTCCAGAGGTTTGAAATGAGAATTTCTTCAAAAGTAGCTTCATATCACTTGAGGGACCTAAGTAGGATTGAAGCCATGTCATGGGTGCAAGGATTCCATAATGATTTTAAGCAGAATTTCTTTTCATTTTATTAAAACAGTAGAGACATGGGGCGCCTGGGTGGCTTAGTCGGTTAAGCGTCCGACTTTCGCTCAGGTCATGATCTCGCGGTTCGTGGGTTCGAGCCCCGCGTCGGGCTCTGTGCTGACTGCCAGCTCAGAGCCTGGAGCCTGTTTCAGTCTGTGACTCCCTCTCTCTCTGACCCTCTCCTGCTCACGCTGTCTCTCTCTCTCTCTCTCTCTTTCCTAGAGATAAATAAAACATTAAAAAAAAATTTTTTTAAACAGTAGAGACATAACTGATTGTATAATCTTATTTTGTTCTAGGTCCCCTAAAAACCCAGACCAGAAGATAATTAAAAGAGTGATTGCTCTTGAAGGAGATATTGTCAAGTAAGTACTTACACTATTGTTTTAGAGTTCAAGTTATAAATTCTGGAATTTTGTCAAGTTTTACTTGGAATTCTGTCAGTTGTACTTACAACTGAGTTCAAAGAGGACCAGAGCTTTGGAGATATCCCAGAGGAACTGGTACATCTTAAGCGAGCATCTCCAACTATTTCAAATAGAAGACACACATAAACTTTTGATTATATTATCATCCTTCTCTTTTAACGTTCGTTTGTTTGCTTGTTGAGAGAGAGAGAGAGAGCTGGAAAAGAAGGGACAGAGAGAGAGAGAGTGAGAGAAAATCCCAAGCAGGCTCCATACTGTCAGTGCAGAGCCTAACGTGGGCCTGGAACCCACAAACTATGAGATCATGACCTAAGCCTAAACCAAGGGTCGAATACTTAACTGACTGAGCCACCCAGGTCCCCCAATTATATTATTCTTTAAATGTGAGGCACAAGAGATAAATACTAATTCAATTCAAATTAATAATGTTTTCTAAAATAACCACTAACCAATTGTTTTTCAAATATTAAAGTTAGCATGATTATTTTAGATTATGGTATCAAGGTTGTTTTAGAAAAATTAAAAAATGTTTTATTATTTTACAAGCATATACAGAAACTATGTCAGAGTTTTCATACTCATAGCAATGGTGGAATACGAGAAAGGAAATGAAACAAAAGCGTCTGAGTCCATGACTAAAATGGACTTCAGAAAATAACAATGTAAGGGCACCTGGGTGGCCTAGTTGGTTGAGAGTCTGACTCGATTTCTGCTCAGGTCATGATTTCTCAGTTCATGGGATTGAGCCCTGAGTCCGGCTCTGTGTTGATGACGTGGACCCTGTTTGGGTCTCCCTCTCTCTCTGCTCCTCCCTTTCTCTCTCTCTCTCTTAAAATAAATAAATAAACTTAAAAAATATATCAATCTAACAATCAGGTATTTTAACAGTCTGTAGTAGTGTCTAATTTCTTTTAATTGCTGATGAATCTATAACAGTGTTTGAGATTCAACAAGTAAATATTAATGTGGCATGAGGTGTCTCATTTTGATTGTTTACTTTTAAGTAAGTTGTAGTCAGGTCCATACAATATTGGGCTCAAAATGCTCTGACAACTGTTTTCAGAAAGTTTTCTGATTCTGTTTTCAAAAATCTTAATCCTAAAGTAACTGTGTTAATGACACTCCAGGTTAAACCATTTTATTAAAATGAACATCAGTTGGTTTCAGAGCAGAATCAAGGTCAGCCGTTCTCAAATGACGGCCCAAGGATCGCTGGGCATTCCTAAGACCCTCTGTGGGGGTCAGTGAGATCAGAACTACTTTCCTAATAATACTAAGATGCTGTGTGCCTTTTTCATTTTATTTTCTCTTGAGTATACAGTGGGGTTTTCCAGAGGCTGTGTGATGTGCAATATTGCATTAGATTGAATGCAAGAGATGATATGGGAATATGACAGTCTTCTATTAATCCAAACATGAAGTGGATTGGCAAAAATATTCTTATAAAGCCACTGATTTCAACTATTTTTATTTTGTTTTGGAAAATAATTATACTTTTTATTAAAATAATAGTTTTTATGTGTTAACATATAGGTATGTTATTATTTTAGATTGAATTTATAACACTTTTACTTTGCCATTTTAATTTCCCATATGGTAAATACTGACAGAGTATATTTTCTAATATGTTAAATATTGACTAATGGTATCCACATAAACAACAGTTCTTTGAGATCCTCAATTATTTTTGAGAGTATAAATTATTTTTAGAGTATAAAGGACCAAACAATTTGAGAACTTGTTGATGTAGGAATGAATGGGCAAAACTTTCATGTCATGATTATCTGTCCATTAGTAGTCTGCATGGTATTAGTCAAGATACTGAGGTATGGTTTGAGTGGTTTACATTTATGAATATTTGTTTGTGGTTTTTTTTTTGTTTTAAAAGCTTTAGTGATATGTAATTTATATAGCATTTAACTCACCCATGTTAAATATACAGTATAATGACTTTTATTATAAATATATATAATTGTGCAACCCTCACCACAGTCTAGTTTTTGAAAAGTTCCATTACCTTCAAAAGTTCCCTTCTCCCATTTGCACTTCACTGAGGCTCCGCCAGTGCCAGTGGCTAATCCCAGACAACCATGGGTCTGCTTTCTGTCCCATAGTATAGCCTTTTCTAGAAATTTTATTTAGACGGTATTATACAATATGTAGTCTTTTATGTCTGTTTTCCCCCCCACATATCAGAATGTTTTTTTCTGTCCCCTCCAATGTGTGAATATCTGTAGTTCATTCTTTTTTATAGTTAAGTGTATTCCATGTATGGACCTACCACATTTTGTTTGTGTACTTACAAGTTAATGAAGATTAAAATTTTTCCAGTTTGAAAGATAGGGACATTTGGTCAATGTTATGGACACTTGTGTCTTTAGGTAGAAATATGTTTTTATTTCTACTGAGATGAATTCACACATATTGTTGTTAAAACACCTATATACCTAGGGATGCTGGCTATTTTGGTGAAGTATAGGATTGACTTTGGTAGCTATCAAACTGTTTTTGAAAGTGGCTATAGTATTTTATGTTCTATAGTCAGTGTATAAGGATTTCAGGTTCTTTGTGCTCTTGCTAACATTTGGTATTATGACTATTTTTTTTATTATAGCCATCCTCATGGATATAAAGTAGACTCCCACTGTGGTTGTGATACATTTCCCTGAAGGCTACTGATGTTGAACATGCTACCATGTGCTTACTTGTCATTTGTATATCTTCTTGGATGAAGTGTCCGTTCAGTGCATTTTCTCATTTTTTACTGGTTATTCAATTTTGAATTATAAGAAATCCTTTGATTTTGAGCACTTAAATAGATTGGGCATTTGGGGGAGGATTATTGTGCATGTATAATAATGTGATTTTAGTCAGGTGTAAGTATGTTAATATCAATGAGTTTAGGTTTTGTTACCTGTAGGGTTTGCATTGTCAATTTGTGGAATCTGAGAACTATTTTTTATTTTGAAGAGGTTCTTCTGATTTCAGTAGGAAACTGGGAAGGGCAATAATTTGGAAAACCGTCTGATATACATGCATAAATATACAAAATATTCTTTTAATATTTGGAAAACAGTGTGGATATGATGCAAATACCATTTAAAGAATGAGTCAGGAAAGCTTGAGAATATTGTTAAATGAAAGAAGCTAGTCACAAAAGACCATATCCCATTTGATTCTATTTATGGTTATGAAATGTCCAAAATAGGCAAATTTATAGAGACAGAAAATAGAGGCATAAAGGAGAATGGGAGATATGGATACAGTGGGGTTTTGTTTGTTTTTGGTAGGGGGCATGAAAACATTCCAAGTCTCACAGCTTATAGTCTCACAGCTCTGTGAATATATTAAAAACAGTGAATGTACATTTTAAATGAGTAAATTACGTGTTATATGAACTACATCTCAATAAAGTTATTTAAAAAAAAGAATTGGTCAACAAAGGAAGCAAAAATTTTACCTATGTCAAATAATCTAACAAGATTAGGAATGCCAAGGGATTCATTTTACAGTATAATACAAAGAGAAGACAGTTTTAACTCAGACATATCAATATTGATTACAGCTGAAGAGTCAACGTGCAATTATAAAACTTGGTCAGACATAAAAGACTCTGCACAATTAGAAATCCTACAACAGACCTCCCTGAGGCAGGGGGGAAAAAACCTGGCTTGTTCTTTCTTCAGTAAATGTAAGAACTGTATTAGGTTCACAGAGGAGAGGCTGAGCTGTAAGGAGGATTATTGGCACAGGGCTGGGAGATGGAGAAAGGGAGATGAGAATATGAAATTTATCCATATTTCCCCCACTGATGCAACCCACATGTGCAAAGGTTGTGGCTTCTTTGTTCTAATCCTGAAAATTAACACTTTGAATATATGGCCCCTTCTGTCCCCTTCACTACAACCCTACCATGAAGTGATGTATAGCATAAAGAATGGAAGTATCAAGGCTCAAGACTTTCCTAGTATGTAGCCTCTAAAAACTACTTGATAATTGATCTGAACTTTTGTATTTGGTGTTTTAGAATAAAATTTAAAATTTTATTCCTCTGAAATATTGGTACGTAAAAATTATAGGCTTCCTGGGTTTTAAATTAATAATTGAAAATATTCTAGGGTGCCGGAGTGGCTTAGTCGAATGAGAGTCTGACTTCATCTCAGGGCATGATCTCACCGTTTGTGAGTTCTAGCCCCACATCAGGCTTTGTGCAGACAGTGCAGAGCCTGCTTAGGGTTCCGTCTCTCTCTCTCTCTCTCTCTCTGTCTCTCTACCCCTCCCCTGTGCTCTCTCTCTCTCTCACTCTCTCTCTCTCAAAATAAATAAATAAACTTAAAAAATTATTTAGAAATAATTGAATATATTCCTATGATGTACTTATAATAGCATTGATAGATATTAATGGGTGTTTAAGTGTAATAAAATATAAGTTACTGTTATGTTGACATTTTTTGTCTATATCTGATTCTTTCAATAGAAAAACATATACAAAAAAATTTTTAAATATGCTGTCTACTGCTAGAAGTCATTTATCTATTGGTGTCCTAACATGTAGAAGACAAGATGCTTCAGTCTGTGATAGGGACTTTCCAGTCCCACTTTTACTTCAGAAAATACTTGCTTTCTTAGTAGGCAAGCTAAACATAAATGAACATCACCAGATTATTATTTTTATTTAGAAAGAACTTGATATATAATAAAATGATTAAAGAAAAAAATTTGACTTATTAGGGCTCAAGTTACCCTTATTGTGCATTTTGTAGTATTTTTATTGTGAATTAACACATAATTAGAGGGAAGAGAGGGACGATTATCTTTTCAGAGCTAAGCACTTCAAAGTCTTAATTTAATCCTCAATTTAATGTTCTGTTAGTTATAAAAAACAAATATGTAGTAAAATATAGTTTAAAGAGCACTTATTTTAAAGATAATTCAGC